AAAAAAAAAAAAGAACCTAAAGAGACCCTCTGACTTGGGTAAGGGGCATCTCAGCAAGAAAGAAATGCACTTTCAGAAAGCAGGAGAAAGTGAATGCTTCATTTAGGAAGGAGTTAGTGTGGGCAGACAGGATATACATAACGAGGGTCAATGGCCACTAAGCAAGCCATGTCACCAGAGCTCCAGATGAGCTCACAATTACTTACCTTGCTCCCTTCCACTGGGTAGATTTTTTTTTAAAGCTTGACATTTGCAATAAATTAGTGGTTTTTTTGTTCTCAAGTAAGTATGGCTTGGAATACTCTCTTGATAGTAGTTTACGGATCACAAATTAGGAAATGGAGCTTGGTAAATTGAAGTGTATTTATAGAAACAATGTAAATTGAAGTGTATTTATAGAAACAATGTGCCAGAATGATCTGAATTGGGACTATTTTAGAAAATCCTGAATAGGTGAAAGCCAAGAGAATGCCATGATTCTGAAGTCAAAGTTTTTGGGGTCCAACCCCTTTTGCCAGGTCGTGAGATCTCCTGAAGGAGAGACGGATAGGCGAAAGATGGACACAATATTCCCGGACACCTGCTTCCTGAGCAGATGGCATCCTTTATTAGTTAACAGAAAGCTTTTATAGCATTTGTAAAAGGGGCAAGACAAAGAAAATTCCTTCACGTATATATGTTTTAAAAGTTACCACCATCTAGCGGTCTTCAGAAGAAACGAATAAGCCAAAAACATTATCTACTTTCAGTTAATGAGTCTTGAGATAAGTGTAAAAGGAGTTTCACTTAAACTAAACATAATGCATACAAGGTTTACTTTGATTTTGGTTCCACATCACTAGTCTAATTAAAAAGGCCATAAATTCACTAAAACAAACTATAGACTGTATCTAGTGATAGCAGGAATATGAAGCCCATTAACTTGACCAAACAACAGTGGCTAGCATTTAAAGAATAACTATGAAAGTCACTTACTGTGAAAATACATACACTAATCTTTACTCTGAATAAACATATGAAGTGAACTAAACATAATGAAATAAAACTAACACAACTAAAATTATTATGGTTGCATAATTGCCAATGAACTTTTAAGTTTAGGATAATGGTGATTTGGCTGTTTTCCCTTATGCTTGGCAACCTCCTGGAAAACATCTTTGTCTTAAGGTAGGCAGTGGAGCAATTATTATTATCTTTGAGGCACCAACTTTATCATTGTGTGAACTTAAACTTATGAACTTAAAACAATCTTCAAAGTAGCTATAGCACTAAAACTTAATTAATGACACAAAGTAAAAACCTTGTTAAACATAACCAGAGCCTAATAATTTTTGTCAACCCTCATACATATGAATATTGATTATATAAACTTGTATGATATTACATTTACCAATATGAGTAATACATGGATAAAACAATTATCATGTCTAGAATAGCACTGCCAGCAACTTTCTTCAAAAGAGTCCCAAATTACAGTCCTTGAAGTGCTTCAGGAAAGTTCCCAGGTACACGGTCCTTCATGTAGCTGTTCTTCTCTTTTGGGCTTTTACGACCTTCAAAGTTTTGTAATCGCCTTTCTTGTCCAGGTGTCTTCATTACTTTTCTCTTATTCTGCAGTGTTTATTTCTAAGGAAAACTCAAAAGAAACTTTTAATGACATTTCCCAGGCCCCCAAGGTTGCTTTCTGTATTTAGTTAATTATCATAAAAGTATCTAATTAGAATATTATGAATTCAGTGAAAACCTGCTCTATAAATGTTTACTTAAAATTTCACTATAGAATTATGTAAAAACCTTAACGATTAATCTTTATCCTAAGTCTGTGAAGACAGTGTTATAAATCACCTACATAACTCCTAGATAAGTGTTAGAACTTATAATGAGCTCATAATGAACTTACCATGAACTTGTGCTTCTAAAAAACCTTATGTCTGACCACTAAGCTGCATAATTCTAAATCAAATAAGGAGTGAATATACTTATATCATTTTTTACTCAAGCAATATCTAGTAACTTATAACCAAGTGAAAGAAAGCATTCTTGATGTGCTTCAGAGTTTAACCCTTGCATATGTTAGAAAAGGCCAAGCGGCATAGTGGGAAAATGGGAAAATGAACCATGACATTCTCGGGTTAGGTGTGAGTACTTCGCATAAACATGCCATTTTCTTCTTCCACGACTGCACAGAATTTCTTCAGCCGTATCAAACAGCAAAGGTGGAAGACAGAAGGGCCTCAGCTTCCCGGGCTCGCCCTGCGGCCCGGGGTGTTCAGCCCACCGGGACCCTGTCAATCATGTGGACCTCCAAGGCTGGCTCCCAACACAAAGTAACTGGAAGCACATGAGAGCAACATTAACATTTCAGCTTTAAAAAATTAATTAAAATTTCAGGCTATAGTTGGAGGAGGGAAGTGTAAGAAGCTGATGTTTTACTCCAAAGGCAATATTGGACATGATAGGTTTTCAGAAACACTATACAAACACACTTGTGTGTATGCAATGACTAAACAAAGGAACTTACCAGATTTATTATAATCCCTTGCCTTCAGGCAAATGAATGTTTCTAATCATACAGGAACAAAGATTTTTAAATCCTTCTAAAGCTCTTTGTGAATATTTGCACTTTGGAAACCACATAATTTCTGAAAGCTTTGCTCTTACATATTTTTTATACCCATGGAGATTTATCATGTTTAAGTTTATTTATATCTGTCTTAATTTTTTATTTAAATTTTTAAAAAAATTTTATTTTTCACTCATATGCAAGAGTACACAATGAATTGCAATATCACTTTGTTCACCTTACATTCCGTGTGCTACTCTGGTGTAATCAGGACGCTGTCCCTCAGTCCTCTCTTGTCTTAGTGTTGCTCTCATGTGCTTGCATAAGACCATCTGTGAAGCCATGGTTGCACTTCCCCTGCTGTGCTGTAAATGGCTCTTTATCATTCTTTCCCTTCACTGGGCTAAGAGCCTTGTGAGGATAAGGATCATCTATGCCTTCTTTACCTTATTATCCTGTAGCTGTTACAATGACTGACACAGAGTCCACTCAACATTGATGAAAGGAATGAATAAATTGATGAATGATTATACATGAATGCACACACAGTGCAAAACAATCATTTTGGGTTGCTCCTTCTTTTGGTCCCACGTATCCCAAGTACATATGCTTGGCAATGAGATACACGCTGTAGTGGAGAAGCACACTGAAAACACACACCCACACACACATGCACGCACATATACTGGGGGTGGATAATATCTCTTGATCAGAGAGCACTTTAGGTTACTCTTCCTTAAATGAAAAGCCTGTGTATTTTCTTTTTACTGGAAGCCTCACTTCTGGCTCCCCAGACTCTGGGCTCCTTTTAGGGTTCTTGTGGATATGGGAAACACTTGCATGATGGCCTATGAGAGTTTTGGGCCAGACAGGGTAGTCGTGAGTGCTCACTATAGTTCTCTCTCAGAGACACAAAGGGAAAAAACCTAAAGAAACTCAATAGTGGTCTTCCCACCTGCTGAGTACTCTGCCTCCTCCTAGAACTGCTTGACTGAGCCTGGCCAGGTCCCTCGGACTCATCATGGCACCTTGTGGAGGCCTTTTAGCCTCTGCATCTGCCCCCGTAGCACTGTCTTGACTGTCTCATTGCGGAAGGTGAGGATGAAGGGATTGAGGAAGGGGGTGAAGACTGAAGTCATCAAAGCCACAATCTTGTTGACTTCCACAGAGTGTGCTTTGCCAGGCCTGACATACAGGAAGATGGTGCTACTGTAGCCAATGAAGACCAGTGTGAGGTGAGACCCACATGTGGAGAAAGCCTTCTGGCGGCCACTGGCAGAGGGAATCTGCAGCACAGTGGTCACGATGTAGCCATAGGAGATGAGGGTCACCAGGAAGGAGCTGAGGACAAAGGCCAAGGCCAACATGAAGTCCCAGAATTCCAGCAGGTGGGTGTCAGAGCAAGACAACTGCAGCAGAGGTGCATTGTCACAGAAGAAGTGGTTAATGATGTTGCCGTGGCAGTAATCAAGATGAGCTCAGGAAAGGACAGTGGGTACCATGGCCAGGAAAGGAGCTGCCCAGGTAGCCCCAACCAGCTGGACACACACAACCCAGCTCATCAGAGTTCCATAGCGCAGTGGGTGGCAGATGGCCACAAAGCGGTCAAGGGCCATGTCTGCCAGGATGAGGAAGGAGGTGGAACCCAGTGAAAAGTAGAAGTAGAACTGGACCATGCAGCCAGTGAAGGAAATGACTTTGTGGGAGACCAGAAGGTCTGAGAGCATCCTGGGCACTGCAACCAAGGTCACCAAGATCTCCAGCAGGGAAAAATTACCCAGGAAGAAGTACATGGGAGTATGCAGGTGAGTGTCAGCTACAACCATAACTATGATGATGGTGTTTCCAATGAAGGCAAGAAGATAAAGCACGAGGAAAGGACCATACAGGAGAACCTGCAGCTCACCAAACGAGGAGAAGCCCAAAAGGACAAATTCAGAGGGCTGGCTCAGATTTGCCATGATCTGATGACTGATTCCCTATGAGTAAAGGAAACAAGAGACAGAGATGGAGAGATAGAGACATACACAGAGAGATAGAGACAGAGTACCATTGGCCATGAAAGAGGAATAGACAGAGACAGAAAACAGGGAGAGAGGCAAGCAGTCAGTCAGTGATAAACAGAAGAACATAGAGAAAGGATGATAATGAGAAACAGCCACAATGCGAACAGGAAAATCCCAAAGAAGCAAAGTTAGGGAACCAGAGAAGTGAAAGATGTGGAAAGCCATTGATAAGGAGAAAGAAATAGAGAGAGAGAGAAGCAGGTTAAGAAAGACCATATAGCAACATACAGCGACATTTAGGGAGAAAACAAGAAGGAAACAAAAGAGGAACAGAGTAAGACCAAATATGAGCGAGGGAGAAAGAGAGAAAGATAAGGAGGGGAGAGAAACATGAAAAGAGAGAATTAGTGCACATCTCCCAGAAGCATCACCCAGAAGCCCCCAATCATGCTGACATGCTGGGCGTCTGTGTCATGACCCAGAGGCTGTGCCCCAAAATCCTTTTCAGAGGGTCCTTGCAGATCTCTTTGGGCTGTACCTCTGAGGACCCTCACTCATTTACAGATCTCCTGCTTGGATCATGAAATTGGTGGAAGTCAGAATTTTGAGGCAATAAATTAGCTTCCTTTAGAGCAGTCTTCTGCTTTGTGATTGCAATGACTGAGAGCTGTAAGGGCACAGGAAATCAGGGAGACAGGTCTGCGAATCTATGAGGCTGCTCTGCCAGGACCTGGCCGTCTGCAGGCCACCCAAAGATGCCCCTGGGCTGCTGCCATACCTGTGGACGCTCCCACTCGTTTCTTGGTTTAATTCTGGCCTGACACCTGCTTGTCATGGACCATAAATCTGCTCCTCTCTGTTACTTACTCTCTCTGAGCCTTAGTTTACTCAGTTATAAAATGAAAATAATGATAGAACTTAGCCTTTAAGATGATTACAAAATTAAATGAACTACTTAGTACAGTGACTTGCACATACTAAGTACTCAACAACTGTGGTTGTCAGTGTTCTCATTGTTACAGCTGTTAACAAAACTCAAACTCAAATTTTCTTGGCCCATCATCTCTCCACACTTCTTCAAGTGTCTATGTGTGTGTGTGTGCACGTGTGCGCGCGTGTGTGTGTGTGTGAATATCTCCACAGCTGTTTCCTAGAATTTCACTTCACTGCAAGGATACTTTAAAACATTTCAAACACAAAAGAACAGCAGTATTGGAACACAAACTCTCAGGTGTGTAAAGGGCATAGGGGTATACAGATAGAACCCTTCCGGCTCCATGAAAGGTTCATCTGAGATTATGTCCTGGACACCCAGCAATGGATTCCAATGTAAAGAAGCCTTGCACCCAGGCCACTGACTAGCTTTCACAGTAGATCTAAAAGCTACTACACCAGACTTACTAAAGTTAAACCTAGCCCTTATGTCTGTGTTGTGTGGGAACCTAACTTACACACAAACTTAAGCCACTTACCTTTGCCTCCAAGCACAGCACCTTCTTCTTAAACTGCTCTCACTTGGGCATGATAGCCAGGAGACTCCTGACTGCTGGGTCCACTCTGATGTGAGTGACATCAGAGGTGCAGTCCATTGCCCTTGAGTAGTGTCTTGAAACGGGCAGAGGTGGACAGAAGTGTGGTGCACAGCTGGGAAGGCTGGCACTGCTGACTGAGCCAAAACATCAACAGTCCTGATGTTGATTTTCAAATTCAGGGTCTACCCTGTCTTACTACAAAGCCAGGGCAGCAACATAGATGTGGAGCTGGGAGATGGGAAAGAAGTCTTTCAGGAGACCAGAGGGGAAAGGTGTTTTTTCTGTCTCTTCTTTCCTAAGGATGAGTGCTCTTGACTCTTTCTATCCACCATGTCTCCAAGTCCTTGATTTCTTGATGATGTTTAGAGCTGAGCTTATGCTAGATGGAAAACTTAGACTCCAGCAGAGCATTCTCTGTGGGTATGACGGGAAGACAAAAAGTCCTCCGGGGACTTCTGACACACTTATGCTACTCCTTAGAATAATGAGAGTACTTCTGTTTTGAGAAAGTAACATTTGGGAAAACACCTAAGTAGTTGATGGCTTAAGATCAGTTCTATGACCATGCCCACCATCGGGGCCTTCTTTTCCTCCTAGGATCATGGAAGAAATATGAGACCATGGAAAAAGCACAGAGAAATTTCCCCAGATGGATTAAAATTATGGCAACCTGGATATGTAGACAGGGTTGGAGCCAGAGTTTTTATGTGGAGTTTTTGTCTCCCTCCCAGATCCAGGTTTTGGGAATCTAAGGAGGCAGGGATTAGAGGTCCTGGACCACAGCACCCTTCTGTCTGAATTCTCCCAAGTATTATTTCAGAGAAATTTAGGAATCAAAACAGTAAGCTTAAGAACAGATCTCTGTCTCTCTGGGATAGACCCCTGAGAGAAACATTTTGAGACCTGACTAAACTGAAGGCCTGACTCTGACTCCTGTGAGAAGATACACACCTTGAGGACAAAGGTGAAGGTAGTATGGTAAGACCCATTTCAAGGATCAAGCTCTCTAGTAAACTCTGAGTCACAGTCTTTCATCTTAGAGACATTTCAGCCCTATGGATGGCACCCAAATCAACACCATTCACACCCACAGGGAGGAATAATGACACAAAGATATCAAGCAAAGTTTTTCTATGAAGATAGTGCAAATGGGCCTTGAGTTCAGGAACAACCAGGACTTGGAGGGGGTGGCCAGGTAATGTTTCTGTAAGACATGAGCTTGGAACTGAGGCTTTAGGGCTGCCCCATTGATAGCAGGAAGAATTTAGGTCATTACACAGGGAAATGCAAGATGATGCAGAAAGGAGCATGTTACTAACAGAGAGCTCAGGCAGGTAGAAAGGGTGGCTGCCAAAGCAGAGTTGGAGGCATGATGCCTGAGAATCAAAAGAAAAGAACTGGGGATACATGAGCCTTCATGACTTTTAGTTTTCTATTGCTTCTGTAGCAACTTTCCATAAGTTTGGTGGATTAAACAACACAAATTTTTTCGCCTGACAAATCTGCAGGTCAAAAATGTGACACAGGCCTTGATGAGCTAAAAAGGTATCATCAGGTCCATCTGCCTTTCTGGATCCTCCTTGCTTTTTTCAGTTCTGGAGGTTGCTCACATTCCTTGTTTATGGTTACCTTCCTCCATCTTCAAAGCTAGCAAAAAAAAGAAAAAAAAAAAAGCATCTTCCTGATCATTCTTTTGTCATCACAATTTCCTCTGACTGAACTCAAGGGAAAGTTTCTTCACTTTTACAAATCCTTGAGATTAGATTCAACCCATCTGTATCAACTGGGACAATTATCCCATCTCAAGGTCTTAACTTAGTCACATTTACAAAGCCCCTTTTGCTATGTAAGATAGCATATCCACAAATTACAGGGATTCAGGTTTGGACATTTTTAAGGGATCAATATTCTGCCTATCACAATAATCACAGTATAGCTTTGGCATCTGACACCTATCTGGTCAGATTCATTCACCTATATACAATTGCATTCATTCACCAATAAATAGGTAGCACCAACTCTGTTAAATGATTGTAACACAAAGCAATCTCCATAATTCAGGAATATAATTCCGAATCTGTCCCCATTTCCTTGGAGATAGAGGCATGTGGAGTAAAGTTAGTTTTTGCTTCTTCTGTAGCCTTCCAAAAGTAAAAGAGTGGGAATTAAAAGAGCTAGAGGAATTATCCTAGTTCTACTAGGTTCTGTCTTCTGGGTTTCCCTGGCTTTGAAGAACCACCCCATGTCTTGTTGGTAACTTCTTCTTTTGTTTGGTGAAATTAATGGGAAATGCAGTGTTTCTCATGATTGAGCTGATGACGTCTAAAGTCTCCCGAAAATTGCTTCCTCAGGCACAACTCCAATTTTTCAGAGTTTATCCCTTTTTTTGAAAAGGATATAAGATTTATTATTGTTGTTATTTTTGCCATCATTCTGCAATTTAGATCAGTCAGAACAGTTGTATTCATTAAAATTTTTTTTATTTTATTTTAAAGATGTGGGGTACAATTCAGGGTTAGGTATACAAATGTTCATTATGTGGGTACCCTTGTTGATGAGGTGTGCCTCCCTCCCCAACAGGTTTTCACTACTGCCAATCCCCTTCTTACAATATTATGATAATTGTTCAAGGTCCTCTTATGAGTGAGAACATGTGTACTCAGTTCTTTGTTTCTGTGATAGATCACTCAGGATTATAAACTCTAAATCCATCCAAGTTGCTGCAAAGTTCATAATTTTGTTATTCTTTATGGTCATGTAATATTCCATCATGTATACGTACCACATTTTTTTTCCCCTCCAGTCCTCTTTCAATGGGCAGCATGGTTGGTTCCATGTTTTTGCTATTGTGAATAATGCTGCAATAAACCTGTGTGTGCAGATATCTTTTTTTTTTTTTTGAGTTGGAGTCTCACTCTGTCACCCAGACTGGAGTGCAGTGGCCACTCCCGGCCACCACAGCCTCGACTT